TCATATCTGTCTTTAGAGGCGGCATAGTGCAGAGGGGTGCATCCATTTTGATTAACTGAATTCAGCTGAGCTCCTTTGGATATCAGAGATTTCACTATTTCCTCTCTGCCTGCAGATGCTGCAATGTGAAGAGGGGTCCACAAAGCCTGGGAAGGAACACAGCACATGTAGTCATTTCACAAACAAGGTGAACCAGATTGAGATTACTCAATACTGTGTCTGCTTACATTCTGGATCATGAGACTGATAATATTTTTTATTAAAACACTGAAATAGTCTACAAAATAAAAATTAAATGTTTACATTAATAAACAAACTTTTGTAGTTTGGGTCGTTATCTAACTGTCATCCCTTCATGACCTTAGAAGATGAAAATACTGCATCACACCTTATTTTACACATTTAAAAAATTTAAATCCACCTGGCTAGAATAAAACTGACTGGGAGCAAGTCCAGATTTATAGTACTGCTGGACAAAAGTGAAGTCGAAATGGACAAACATGGCGATGTCAGTCTAGTTGATACCCTGACCGTGTTAAAAGTGGATTAACCATTGTTGGATGTATGTCACCGACACAACTGGAGAAGACATGGGGGGGGACTCAGTTATATGGCTACAGATTGTCATGTTTACCACTTAATAGACGAGTTCCAGTAAAAGGTTTTGTTGTGGATTTAAATAATGTAACAGAGTTGTTGTTGATAGTCACAGAAAAAGGTGTGCAACAAGTTCTGTGTTGGATTTCAAATCTGTAGGAAGTATTCTTGGATCTTTTGTTCCCAAACCCATTCAGTGCAAATACTGAAAGTGCTAAGTGGGATGTGTGGTATACGTGGAGATGAGAAGTGCATCAGCAGAACCTGTGGTAAAGAACCCAAGCGTAATCAGTGTGGGAGGAGTCATGAAACATGGCAAGCAGACTGCCCACAGAGGAAAAAAAAAAAAGATGTCAAGAGGATCAGGTCCAAAAGAAGGGTAAGCCATGAGGAAGTAGGTAGTCAAGATTCAAGAAGTAAGGGAGAACAAATCAGTGATGAAGATTGTGTAAGGACATGATAAAGTTCTTAGCATTTAACTGGCCATGGTGATTAACTGTGCTGCCGAGGCAGAAAGGAAATCTGAGAGAACTGATATAGTTGTTTATGCTAAGAAAGTTTTTGGATAACTACTGGAGAGGAAGTGCATTTGAGACAAGCTTTCAGGCCGTCTCAGAGCCCAGACTGAGGAGGCCAAGTTTTATTAGAGAATGGGATATGGTGGGGAAGAACCTGCATTTTATTTACGTAGCATTTTTTATAAGTTAGATTAACATTAGATATGAGAACTGACTCTTCTTTAAATCCAAAAAACGGCGGTAATACCACATTTTGGATGCAAACCCCCTCTAAAACCCAACGAATAAGAGGAAGATCCATTAAAAGGCCAAACGTACATCATCTGGCAGATTCACTTCGACTCCCAGGTCAAGCAGAAACTCCACAATGTTGGTATGGCCAGCAGAACAAGCCCAATGCAAGGCGGTCCTACAGTCCTGAAATTACAGAAAGTCGTTGGTGAAAACGTCCCTTGACACTTGTCAATATTTCAGTATATAACGTTACAGGCTAACAACAACATGCGTACATAACTTACCTGGTCGGTTTTGCAGGCAAGCGTTTTATCTGACAGAATGCACTCTTTTAATTTCTCAAACTGCCCCGTGTAAGCAAAATTACAGACCTCCACGTTTGATACAGAACCCTCCATTGTTAAATATGCTTTAATTGGCAAGCAAAACGTATGGTGTGGATGCTCAGGAGCTCTTTCGTTTCAGATTTCAAGCAGAGGAGCAATGACTCAGGAAATTATGAACTCTATTTCCGCACGAGAGATTGTTCCCCTTCAAATTAAAATACTTCTTCTTCTTCAGCGTTTATTGGCGGTTGGCAAACTAGCTTAGAGGTGCATTACCACCACCGACTGGACTGGAATGTGGAATGAATGAACGAACATATGAATAACCAATAGTGACTGAAGAAGGTGATTTCCCTTGACAATTTTTTACAATGAAGTAGCACATGTTTGACTGTTTCTGGTGTGCATTTTCACGATTGGGTGCTTGTCAATAATATGGTTGAGACCTGAATGACCAAGGTGATGATATTTTCTTCCCTTTGTTTCATCACCAACATGTTTTCCAATATTCCTGCCATATACTGATTGTGTCCTAAAATCTTAGCATCATCTTTGCATTAATGGATGTTGTAGGACCTGCATAGGCCTAATTAAGAGTGTTTGTTTGGCCAGTATGTTGAAGTCTACACTTGGCATGGGAATTACCCAGGACGGAATTGATAAAATTGAAACTGTGGGACTGTACTGTAATTACTGTAATCCTATGTGTTCTGCTTTTGCATCACCAATCCACCCAAAACTTGTGAAAAGTATTCCTTTATATTCCCAGCAGTCTGCTAAAACACTTTTGACAGGATGAGTATAGCCACTTCACTTTGCCCCTGGCGCTGATACTGGAGATGTTTTGAATGAAACATATTCATACATATTCAGGCCCTGAGCGTGGAACTTTTTGAGGTTTGATTCTGCTGCTATACACCCACAGTCAAAGACAGATCAGTGCGCACTGCCCTGTTTATATTTTGTAGACCTCTTCTTACCCCTAACTCCTTCCCTGACAAAGAAGTAAGTATATTGATGGCCATTTTACATTTGTTCTTAACTTTATCCACATGAATATTCCATGTGAGTTTTTTTGTTAAACCAAACCCCAAGAAATCAATTATCTTTTATTTGTGCTAAAGGGGTTATTCATACAAGATGGGTGAGATTTTATGCCGTCTTGAGAAACAAATGACTTGTGATTTTACTACTTGAATCCCCATTCACTTGCCCATTTTTCCTTTTCAACTATTGCAGCTTGTATTTTCTTATTGACATTAGATTGTCTTATCTTCTCATTGTCATCACTTATCCTCAGAGCCCCATCATTTGCATACAAAGATTTTCCTGCACTTTGTACATCCTAAGCGAAGATATCAATTATGTTGAATAACAACAGACTACATACACCAAGAGTTCATCCACCATATACACCGGAGTATTCTGCACCTAGCCAACTTTTCCTGTCAAATGAAAAGTCCTTAACCCAATTATACTCTTAATTACTATAAAAAAGTAGCCTGATTTGTTCTGGTTTGTTCTCCTGGTTTGGAACAGGCACTATTATTGCTTGTTTCCATACTGACCGAATGTCTCTTACTGTTGCTAAATGTTTGTGTTCAGCCTTTTCTAAGTTTCTGGAGCCATTTTATTCCCACTCTTCGTCAATGGCAGTTTATCATTTCTTCTGATCATGCCACAGACATCTGACTTCTATAGGCCTACATCTCCTTCAGTACAACTATAATATTGCCTCCAAAATGCGCTCTATTATGTTCTTATCGTTCTCTTTCCTGTTACATGGGCCCATCGCCATTTCCATACCGTTTTTATTAATAATTTAATTAATTTAGTTATTCTATTTGATTCACTGACTGAACACATAGAAGATACCAGAGGTCTGTAATCGCGCAGGGGCCGATATTGCTTTTAACAGAATAATATTTTATTTTGGTAGTACCGCTGGTGACCGGAGGAAGTAATACAATTGGCAAAATGGCTGCGCTGGCTGCTAAATGAAGAAGAAGAAGAAGAATAGTCGCCTAAAGTGATGCTTGACATAATATTCTACCATTCATTGTTGTTGTGATCCATATAGCTGTACTGATGGCAAGCACGCTGGTAAGTTTGAAACTTTCGCTACACCTTTACGTTGAAATCAACCAGCTAGCTTAACCGCATGTTTGCTAGCTCACGTAGCGAAATTACTTTTCAATGCGCGTCTTTTACAATAAAAAGTCGCCTCTACTAAGTTGACGTTAGTGGTATTAATGATCTGATTAATCGTGATAAACATTTGATAAATGACTGTCTCACTAGGACTTCAGGACTCATGCCGACCAGTCATGCAGATATTCAGAAGAATTCGTCAACATTTATTATGACTGCATGGATAAGAAAAGGAGGGTGAGTGGTGGGTTTGTTCTCTGATTTGGAAAACATCAGTCCTCTAGTTATTGTAAACAACTTGTGTGAGCACACTGAAGCCTGACCCCATACATCGGCTTGGTTAATATTACCAACAGAGTTTAGGTTCACAGATAAATCAGCATTGGCGTAAAATATCAGCCAATAATAATAATAAACTGCAGTCCAAAATATCCAAAGATGTGTTCATGATAGCTTAGCTAAGTTACATCGTTGTCAATAACTTTACATAGTTTGCTTACAAGGCAATAGGTTTCAATTGTAAAACACATAACAAATTTAAGGGGTCCTTAAATTGTGTTCTTGTTTCCTATGTCTCAGAACTTGACCCGGCTCTACCTGGACAAGGCGACCTTGGTGTGGAATGGGAATGCGGTGTCGGGACAGGATGCTCTGGGCGAGTTTTTTGAGTCGCTGCCTTCAAGCGAGTTCCAAGTTCACACGCTGGATTGTCAGCCAGTTCACGGTTAGTGGCACAAACTCAAAACACATCCAAGTGCTATTGGTGATTCTCAAATGTGTTTCCCAGAGTAGAGAATTGTCTTAATGTGAAGCAGAACAATGCAAAATAACTAATCTTGCACCAATTACCCATTCTTAATTCACAGAACAAGCAACCCAAGGCCAGACTGCACTGCTCGTGGTGACTGGTGGGACAGTAAAGTTTGAAGGGAACAAGCAGCGTTTCTTTAACCAGAATTTTCTTTTAACCGCTCAGGCTTCACCTAACAATGACCAGCCTGTTTGGAAGATTGCTAGTGACTGTTTCCGATTCCAAGACTGGAACAGCTGAGGTTTACCTCTTCTCAGCTTTCCGCCCTGAAATGTATGGACACTTATTGATGATCTTGAAAATCAACCTGCCGTTTGTTAATTTGTTTTTGTAATAAAATCAAAAATGTCGTGCAACACCAAATACAAAAAGAGGTTTATTCTTAAACTGTTGAACAAGGCATGTGACCACAATGGTGGAGTAATAAATACAAATAGGATCGCCAAACCGTTAAGTGACTGTCAACGTCTGCCTTCTTATTCATGATACAAATCCATCAACACAACACTTCAAAAAATACAAAGAACAAACTTGAAATGAACAGACTGCACTTTAGATAGCCTTCTGATACCAAATTGTTCATTAACCTGTTAACTGAGGTAAAATACGCACGGTATTACAATATGCCAGCTCTTACTAGCTAATGCTAACAAGCAATTTAGTTGTCAAGCATACTTGCTTATAAATAAATAAGGTGCCCACAATAATTTTGACAGTTCCATATATTAAAACATTTGCTTATCTTCCTGAGTCATTTTGGTCTTACTTTCTGAATAAATTGACACAATAACAAATGCATAAATAAAACATTGGTCAGAAAACAATTGTGGATAAGCAGACATGATCACTTTTTTTCTCTATGATCCCTGTTAGTGGGTGGGGATATTTTTCCTAAAGTAAACTTCACACGGCACTTGAGCCATTTCAATAACACAAAATAAAGTATTTTGTTATTATCTAGGTGCCACTTACTTATGCTTGACTACACTGCAGACTGAAGGCATGTAACACGATGGCGATTACAGTTGCTATTGTTTAAAATGGCAGTAACAACAAAGCATCTGCGACATATGGCGGACAGAGTTCCAACAGATTTAAGTGGAAGGCAGTTAAGTACTGTAATGGTCTCAGATCCATTTCTTGGACTAAGAGTGGCCACTTGAGTGTAATTGACAATCAAAGCTTCTACACACAAGAATAAAAAGCAGCACACATGGACCAGCAGTTACAACTATCTACAGTTACAGCTTTTCAATGTTCATAAATGAATGTTTCATATTCAAGACATTTTCGTTTGGATGCCCGTGGTACATAAACAGCATAAAAATACAACTGGGTACCGGGAAGATTATTTACAGGTACAAACAGTGGTTATGGTGATAATCGGGACTCTTGGGTGAAATCGTCGGAGTTATTTGCCCCCATACATTCTCTCTATGTGGTGGAGATAGTGGTTCTTCAGCTCTTTCCTCTTCAGCTTGAACGCGTCGGTGACGAGACCTGTCTCGGGGGTCCACGGCTCTGGACTCAAATGCACCTTCACTGGTATCTCAAATCGCTGGAGTTTAACTTTATGGATGGAAATTGAAGAGACACAGAACTGTGATGCTCAGCCATATTTACCACAGTATAGTACAAAGAATAATTTGCTCTTTGGTACTATAATATTGATACACGACGTATAGAGAGAACATGTACAGTATAAGTGGAGATAAGGGTAGAATATCATGAAAAACATGGTCAACTCTTACTGTTGGCAGCAACCTCCTTGATCGCCTTCAGAACCTCTCTTTCCATGTCGGGGTGAGTGCAGATCTCCTCCCATGTTCCTACAATACCTCTCTGTTTGGCCAGTTCTGTCAACTTTTTCTGGTTGGGAACCACAAAGCTGATCACGTAGTTCTGGTTACTGCCAAGATTAGAAACAAGGTTGATTGAGTGCGTGCTGCTGCTCACTGCTAAAAATGTGTTACAGTATTTAAACTAGCTGAAATAATTCACTGAAGTCATGGCTGATGTGGCATTTAAAATACAAAACTTAAAGCTGAGATAGTAGTTCAAGTTTCAGTTCAAGTCTAAGCACTGAATGAAGCTGAAGTATTGATTTAATTGCAAGCGCTGAGTAAGTTGCATCACTGAAAGTGCTCAAAGGAGTTGTACATTCAGCATAAGCTCAAGCAGATGAAGCATCATTTGAAGAGAAGGGGATACGTTCACTTGAAGTGAAAGCCCAGAAAGAATTAAATAACAGTTCAAGGGTCAGCATAAGAGTCAGCAATGAAAGCAGTTGGAGTAAACGTTGTATGAACAGTAGAGGTGTTAGACTTAACTATTCGACTAGGGGCTTAAGAGGTTTTGGTTTTTTTAAGCTGTGAAGACCTGAGACCTGAAAGGGTTTGAAGTGTCAGCTGAAGTGAAAGATGAATGCAGATGAAATGTCAGTTAATATGTGTGAAGGAAATTCTTGTGAGCTGGTCAACCCTTATTGATGAAGACGGTTACTTTCTGAAATCAGAAACAAAGGGCTAATATTGACCTTGGGCTGCCTAGGAGATAGACCACAGAGTTCGGACTTATCAAGGCAACAGTCTTGTCAGTCTGGTCAACCAAACAGACAGAGTTTAACTTACTGATTTAGAGTCACAGGCTGTACCTTTGCCTTACTTTAGCTCTGCAAATGACCCTATCATGACCTTGGGAAAACCTCTCATGTCATGTTTTGTAGTTGAAATTCATGAAAAAGATTTTGTTGTGAATCAAAATGCAACATTTCTTTTTCCTTTTGGTAGGAAAACTTTCTCCCATTTCTTTTTTGACAGTGGGAGGATTTACAATACAGTGGAAACCTCTTGAACACGTCTGTTGGGGTGATACTGACTGCAAGCGGATGGTTAAAATTGAATGTTTTTCTTTATTTCCCCAGATTACCATCTCATTGACATTTGTATATTTGTTGAATATAAAGTCATAAGATGGACAGCTTCGCCATTTACTGGTTTGTTTGTTTGTTTGTTTTTTTACTTACTTTTAAAATACAGTACAGCTATATTCAACGCGCTACAAAATTACTGTACCGTGTACAATTCAAAAACACTATACATTAATATAGTGCAGTAAATTTAGCTGATGGTAATTCAAGTTATAATTAAAGCTGCAAGCAGTGTTGGGCCGGCCCTCGCGTCGAGGTGTGAGGCGGCCGCGTTACATATTGTGGAGCTCTGCCGGTGCGGCTGTAAATTTCCTACTCGCTTTGGACGCCGCATGAAGGTGTTATACGTCACTTCCTGTGTCCCCTTAGCACTTGGCGCTATGAATATAAATTAATATTGGCGTGTGGATGTCTTCGGGGTGGGACAGTTATCAAGCACGTAAAGTTTTGTTCAGATGTGAGCATGTACACTGAAGTTACAACAGCTTCCTGTGTCATGGCGAAGAGTTGATCTTTGACGCCACGCCACGGACATGCCCATCGTTGAAAACTCACAGATAGCAGAACTTTTCATCGTCAATGCCTTTAGAAGGCACAGCAGAAATTTGAAGTCAATCGGACTAAATCTGTAGGACGAGTTCGTTAAAGTACACACCCTGGAAATGGTGAAAAAGAGGTTAAAAAAAAATCACTTTCAATTCAAAAAGGCTGAGTTCCTGTTGAGTTTAGGGTATGGGTTCTTGAGGCTTTTTTGTGTGTCTTGATATGATAGATGTCCCCAGAAAATTGCTTGCATGTAGGTTGAAATAGGCGCGGGGGCAAATTTTTTCCAACTTTACAGGTGGCGCTATAGAGCCATTTTGCCATGCCTATGTGCGAGACCCTTAAAATACGTTTTTTGCCACACCTGACGTGTGCGCAAAGTTTTGTGAGTTTTTGAGCACCTTTAGGCCGTCAAAAGTGCGATTCATTTGGGAGAACAGTAATAATCTTTACAATTTCAATAGGGTCCTCACATGTTTCATGCTCAGGCCCTAATTAGGCTATAGCCTATAACAGTAATGTGCTTTTTACAAATACAGTAACATCAGAAGTGCAAATAGGTGTGTTCTGTTTGTCTAGTTTGTTTAGTGATGTTCTATCACTGTGTGGATGTTTTAACTGTGACCTGCCAAGGGACTGCAGATAAAAATTAGCTTTAAAAATACATCAAATGGTAACATTTATGTTTAATATTGTACGAGGCGGGTAGCCCGTTAATCGGAAGGTCGGTGGTTCAATCACCGGCTCCTCCAGGCTGCATGTCGAAGTATCCTTGGGCAAGATACTGAACCCCTGGTGTCTGTTCCGCCAGTGTATGAATGTGTGTGAATGTTAGTTTCTGTTGAATGAATGAATGGTGAATGCAGATGTAGTGTAAAAGCGTTTTGAGTCGAAAAGACTAGAAAGGCGCTATACAAATACGGAGCATTTACATTTGCATAGGCACTTTCCAAATAAAAGCAAAAACTCAAGTCTAAAGGAAAGGAAACTTAAATGCGAGGAATATGTAGCTGTTAACTGTGTATCTGCTGCTTCTTTACCTACGTTTTATTATCTTTATTTCCTGGTTCACATGATTTAAACCAGTTAGGTTAGTTATCGGATAGGGAACACTGGGAACACTGCTCCACCTGGATGTTACCTTTGATGTGTGATTTAGTCTAATTTAAGTTGACACGAGGTGAGTTCTCAACTCTGTTCTGTTTGACAGTGAGTGCACTAACAGCTTGTTGTTTTCCCAGATCACAAAGTGCAATGCAGAGCTTGTTTAGTCATTTTTGCGGTTGTTGAATGGAACTGTTTATTAATACTCTGTCAGGGTTCAGCACAAACTTTTCATTTGGTTAGGTGGAACTTGTTAGGTTGCCACTGCTTCACTGTATGCACCCCAGCTGGTTTCCACGCTGAGAAAGAGATGTTTAGCTGCAATAAGTCCATGAGAGATTAACTTTTGTTGACACTGATTAAAATGTATATTCTCAGAAACTTCCAATATCATAAAGGTTTGTTCTGTTTGTAAAGTGCTTATAAGCATGTTTGATATTACACCAAAAATATCTAGAAACACTGTAGTTTGGGGGAGAGTGCACAACAATGTAAAAGAGTGGCTTCAGCTGACATTTATCACACAGAGGTGCGACATCTAAAATTAATTCATGAAGTTAGGAATAATGAATAATCAGTGTAATAATAATAGAACAATAGAATAGAATAATAGAACATAAATGAATATGTCTCAGTTGTAAACATGTCAACTGACCTATGGAAAGACAGCATAATTCCTCTTCCCGAGCTTTCTGTGCTCTGTAGAAGGCATTTAGAGATTCTGAAAGGCATTGTAAACCTCATACCCAACCTAAGACACTGATCAAGTTCATCTGGTTAACTCTGGAAAAATCTGTGAGGAAGGATCTCAGGTAATTCCTAACCTTTAGGTTTCTAGTTGTTGATTTTATTTGCATCTAACAGTTGCCCTTACAATCCAGGCATTGGACTCCTGTGCGAAAAATCATCAACAGTGATTTTTAGGTTTTCAGTAACTTTGAATGCTTTGCATGGTACATCCGTGTATTCCTACACAAAGAAATGGAAGAAATGTGACTCCCAAAATCACATTTTCTGTGACTTCATTAAGTAAATGAAGGCGGCTTACTCACCTGTTAGCATAGGCACAGATGTTATCTATGAGAGCGCAGTTTTTCAGGGCAGACTCCACTTTACCGAGAGACACATACTCTCCGGCCTGCAGTTTGACCAAATCTTTCTTGCGGTCTAAATGAGAATTTAAAAATCTGTTCAGAACAGTGCTCTGTCATCAAAACAGTCTGCCTGTCAGAAGTTACAACCACACTGAATTAGTATAAATAGTGTGCCTTTTACAAACACCTTCAGAGGACAGCCATGGGCCTAAAGGAGAACAATTATATACACACCAACTATTTGTAGACAGCCATCTGGGTAAATCTCTCCCACGTCTCCGGTGCAGAACCATCTCTGACCGTTCTCATCCACAAAAAAGTCTTGGTCGTTGTTATCATTCCCGTAGTAACCCATGGTTACATTGGGACCACCAATCAGGATCTCCCCTCTTGGGTTTGGCTTGTCTTTACTAGTGTAGCCACCTGAGAAAAGGTGCAAGTTACCCTGTAATTAAAAAAAGACCTCTCATCCTGTAAGTATACACATGTTTTCAGACCTACCTTCAGCCCAGTCCCTGAGTTTGATCTCACAGCACAGAAGAGGAGCCCCAACACGGCCTGTGCTGATGTCCGCAACTGTATAATAAGATATTATTTCACACAGTTATTCATTTTCATCTTTACACTCTCTTCCTACTCTGCACTTTAAATCTCATCTTACCCTCTGTGATGGTGCCCGCTCCACAGGTTTCAGTGAGGCCATAGCCCTGGCCCACTGGGCAACAGAAACACACATTCATAAATCTCTGAGTGTCTGCGGACAGGGGGGCTCCTCCAGACATCATCATCCTCACCCGTCCCCCCAACAATTTCTTCACTTTCTGGAACAACAGGCTGCAAAGAAAGATTAAAGAGTGTTTGATTTCAAGTTGATACAACACAACCACATTTGTACAGTCACAGGAGGAGACATGGTGGTTTCTTACGCATTGCAGAGTGGTGCGTCATAGCCCCTCTTGATCTGCTCTAGTTTATATTTGTAGCCCAGTGTAAACAGCTTCTTCTGAATGAAACCCATTTCCTGCACTTTGCTCATCACATTCTTGTTGATGCGATCCATAATTTCCTTGTAAGGAGAAAACATAGGATTAATTTATACATTTCACTACGAGCAGGTTAAAAAAAAAAAAGAATGTATAACTGAGCAAACAGAAAGAGGGGGAAAGCCAGAGAGAAGGAGAACAGAGGGGTGAGTTCCAGACAGAGGGCAGAATATAAAGCAGGATTCTTACTGGCACAGCTGCCATCAGGGTGGGTCTGAGCACAGAGCAGTCTCCCTTACTTCCTTTCTTTATCTTGGTGGACTAAAAGGACACAGAAAAAAACTGATAACATTAGACAGCAACAATGATTAAGCTAATGGCAATAATGTGGACAAGTAATAGTAACCACACCCTGGGATGGTATGAAGAAATATAGCATACACATTGACAGATAAAACACAACCTGGTGTTGGTGCTGGGTATTACCTGGTCTGACAGTGTCTGGGGGGATGAGTAGCCGATCCGACAGCCATATGTGACACAGGAGATTTCAGCTGTCATTTCCAGAACATGAGCCAGGGGCAGATAGGCTATGTAAGTATCTTTAGTCCTGCCAGACCACAGAGAGGGAAAGTCAAGGTTAGGGCCGGCAGTTTCTTTACACTTTTGGTGGTTCCATCGTTCATTGTTTGTAATATAGATAGCGCAGTCTCAAAAATGTACCATCCACCTCCTTACACCTCTACACAGCTGGAGAGTGGTGATTATTTTGCTCCTGGAAACATGCTCCAGCATTATTTTATATGGGAATTTCTACAGTTATCTACTTTTCTAAGCCAGTGTTGTGTTAGTTGAAATAGACAAAGGAACACTGGAGAGATGTGATATTTTGCGCAGAGCTGTGAAGCTGGGGTAAGTTAAACCCTGGCTGGAAAATGGTAAAAGAAACCCTGCTGTGGACATTATGTTATACTAAATCATATTTATTTACTAATACTGAAACTCACCCGAGTCCAGGGATGCGTTCACACTGGCCTGTCATTCCTGCAATTAGGTTACTGTGGACAATCATGACTCCTTTGGGTCTGCCTGTAGAGCCACTGGTGTACATCACCATAGCCAGATCAGATGGCTGGGGCTTCACAATAGCCCTCCCCACTGCAAGACAAACAAAACAGTTATTGTCCAGCACTGTATGAGGTGAGGTTTTTCCACTCCTGCATTTGACAAAGAAGCACAACCAAGGCGAGTCAGAGAAATACACACTATTCTCAGGCAGCGCGCCCAGGTCTTGCACGGCCTGCATGCTGTGGATGGACAGTCCTGCTGGGTAGCCTTCTGTGGTCACTTTCTTCTGGTCTACGTAGATCACGTGCTTCAGATTTGGGATCTGTGGAAGCACAATCTGCACAGAAAGAGAGGACAACGCTGCCATCACAACAGGATGCGCAATCAGTGATTTCCTTTTAAGAAGGCTTTCTAGCTCCATATTTACTGACAATCTTTATAATGGTCAGCAGCTTGACCTAGTAAATAAAAAAATAAATCACAATTATAAACATAAATATATGTTGAAATATGTTAGGAATCTAAAACGTCTCTTTGAAATGTTATCATATTCATATTAATTGTTACATTCTTTGGTTAATTTCCTTTTGATCTTGTTTCTTGTTTTGAGTATGGATTCAGGGGAAATGCAAAGATTGGAATCAAATCTATGCACAAAGCCCATGTGAGACATTGGCTATTTCTCCCAGCTTTGTTTTCCTAACCATTCTCACACTCATCTGTCCAGAGAGTCCTCATTTTGTTCTGCCTAATCTAAAAATGGTTTGGCAAGTGAAAATGTTGGAAACAACAGCGGTAATGAAGTTGATCTGTCTTTATAGAGGAAGCTACACCAACTTAAAAATGCAACTAGACTGAACACCATTCATTTAGTGCCAGACTGTACTATGTGGTGATGGCGCAATGGATAAGAGACACATGCCTTTGATGTGAGAGACCGGGGTTCAATCCCCCACTGTGACCCATCCACCATTGTGTCCCTGAGCAAGACACTTAACCCCTAGTTGCTCCAGAGGCGTGTGACCTCTGATATGTATAGCAATTGTAAGTTGCTTTGGATAAGCGACAGCTAAAAGAATAAATGTAAGATTTCCCACTTAAAAACACAGCAACAGATAATGCGTTCATTCATCTAGGATACTATATCTTTCTGGGTTCCAATGCCAATCCAAATTATTTAGTCTCAAATGATCATCTCATGATTATTATTATGGCTACTTAAATAGGCAGACGAGATGTTCCATGACCATAGATTCCTCATTACTTCTCTTGAAGTCAAAGGGAGCAGTTGTAATTGTGTTCTGTAAGGGATTCACTCACTTTCAGTTTAGTCTCAAGCAGTTCCGCACTGGTAACTAGATGTGTAACTCCAGTCTCGTTCAGTCCAAATGCAATTGCATCCTCTCCCAGTGTGGCATAGAATGTCACCACTGTGATGATGACAAAACATAAAAACAGCATTACATTAATACACACACATCTGTTATTCACAACTTAACATCTTGTATACTATAATGTACTTACATGGGAAATTGTGCCTAAAGCATGCCTGGGCAGTGATCATCCACTCTGCTCTGGTTTCACAGAAGATTGCAATGCTGCTTTTGGGCTGCTGCCCCAGCGCTGCCAATCCACTGCCAAACTGACTGACTATAGAGTCCAACTCATTGTAGGATAACCATCTATACTCCCCCAGGATCAGCTAGCAGGAGAAAGAGTCAGTTGCAACATCAGACATGTTTGTCCTCACAAGCATCCTTCTCCCCCCCAAAAATTTTATAATAATGGCAATCCTTACCTTTTTAAATACTTTACCACTGGGTTGAATCTCATTATCTTCGCTCAGTATATCTCGGGTGCCGAGACATTGCGCTGGTCCAAAGCGCTGCACAGCATGATCGAACAGCTTATCCAGTGTGTCCTTGCCTGGGAAGTCCTCTCTGGCCAGGGAATCGAAATGATCCACGGAGCGGTATGGTCCCTCTGCACAGCCTGAAGTGGAACGGGCCTTTATCCGCTTGGACAGAGCTTTCCTTTGCCCGGCACCAGTGATGTAGTACCAGGGCAGGAAGGACAGGACAGAGTACAGCCATACCATAAGGTGGAGTGGAAAGAGGAGGATAGATTGGAGGGCAGAGTCTGACTGGAGACCCATACTGTTCTTTGGTGGAGTAAGTGTTGAAGGGAACTGAGCAGGAGTGGTAGTCAGACTAGTTGCTTGTCCCAATGGTGTTTCAGGTGTGTAGTGGAAAATTGTGTTGGATGGGAAGTCTCATAAAGCGAAAAGTAGAGTAGATAATTTTTACAAATCTCGCAACTGCAGTATGAAAATATTTGGTCCACTGTCTCCAAAGCGTTACACCTTAAGTTGGAATAAAACAAAAAATAGGATCAGGAAAAGTTTATCTATCAAACACATGTGAAATAATGTATCATTTTAAAGCATGCCAACCGCTGTCTGGAAGAGGAAGTTGATTTGACAATGGCACACAAAAATAATGACCCTGACTAACCAATGGTTTGAGAATAAAAGAAGTCAGCTACTGACTAAACCTACCACCTGTAACTGAAAGTCATTTAAATCAATCCTTTGATTACCTCCTGTTACACCCAGGAGGACTGTGCAACAGTACTCATCTGACTCACCTTCATCTTGCTCTGTATGCCTGTCAGCTTTCAATGCTCAGGTATATAGGAGACCTACTAGGACGGTATGTCTCAACAGCGAATCCCTACCTTGTAATGCACACACCCGTCTGCCTTTAAACAATAAAGGACAGGTTATTTGAGAGGTCACGGAACGATGAAGCAATACATGGCCCATCTGAACAAACTGGCCCCTGTCCAATGACCGCAGCCCTGGGAGTTATGCTGAAGAGGATCAAGCAGCGGACAACCAATGACAGTACTCTTGAAGCTCACCCCACTCAGTGGTCAGTGAAAGGCCAATCCAGGGCAAGCGAAGCTTGCTAATGACCAAACTAAACCAATGACCAAACTAAACCAATGACCAAACTAAATGTTTTTATTGCTTTTCCTGTACAAAACAAGAAAAGAACTGCCACTGAACACTGTGTAATGTGGTAATTGTAGATTACAGCTGTCACGTGGGCCCTACTTTCACATCATAAAACAGATATAGAAAGATATGACTTGCACAACATTTGTTTATAAAAAGCAACTTTTTTTATATGGGTTGTAACATGACTATGTATCTATTCATCTACATTATCCAATTTATGATAAATAAAAAGTCAGTCTAGTGTACTTATGTTAAGGCCTCATTTTACACAGTGTGATTCACATTTCAGTGAATCATAGATCTACGTCACACATGTACGCCAGGACTTCCTTGGGTAAAGCATTCTTGTGTAATAACAGCATAGGTAGCAGCCTCTCCCTTCCAGTTATTAAAGCAGCTATGAAAACGTTGTTGCGTGACTTCAGATATAATTTGTTTTTGGTCTGTGGGACCTGACTTAACGGAAAAAAATTAAACAATTTCACTTGCAAATCATCGGTTTGCCTGGAGCAAGGCCAACAGTCAGGCATACAAGTGTCTTTATGAAGGCAGCATCTGATGTTTGACGTTTGTGATAAACCCAACTTTGATGTTTCAGATCTGATGACGGCGGGTACAGTAGTCCAGATACACTCATCACATATGCTGGAGTCATTTCCATGGTAACATAATGTTAACGTACCCATTTTGGACGGATATTGCAAATACAACCCTAATCCCCCACATCCATGAGCCAGATCTATCCCCACACCCATGTAAATCACGATTATATACCAGAAAATACCCTATTCAATGTGTTTCTACTTTCTAGACTTAATGTTCAAAAATGTCTTAAAACTATAAAAAGATAACGTTACACTTACATGAACCTGAAAATGTGAATTTATCAGAATTGTCTATCTTCAGATAAGATAAGACGACCTGTGAATTAACCACCTAATACATGCGGGATATGGCGGTTATCTGACAACGGGTGAGGAGCGGGAATGGCAGACGAAATTATGACAAAAGATGCAACACAGCCGCACGTTGTTGATGTTACAACCGTCGCTAAGTTGAGTAACGTTAGCTGCTGAGCATATAGCTGAATTTCAGCTCAACACTGCCCACATTAAATTAAACCTAACATAAACCTACAAACGGATAAAGAAAGTAATGAGATTAGAGTGGCCAGCCAGAGACTGATATACTGCTTATCTGGCAGGCTTTAGGCATTCTTACCTTCAGCTGCGAAAAACCCGGTCAGTCGTGCCTCTTCCTCTACCCGAGAAATGCCCGAAAGTAACCTTTTCTCAGGACTTAGAAACCCGGAACTACTACGTCATCTGATTCCATATTTCTGGACCAATGAGCGAGCATCCGAAGCAAATTTGCCCTCGGCGTTGTTTTCCTCTTACGTCTACGCTGGATGAAAAATATTGCAGGACGTTATACGTGCCGCCTCTGTCCCCAGATGTTATTGACATTTGTACTCACAAAGGATGATTCACAGCAGATCAGGTGATGCATTTATTCCGTCATGTATAAAAATGTTTACAAAATAACTCATTTCATTTTACTTAAATGTGTGTATTTTATGGAAACTTTTTTTAATAGCCTACAGTCTTACGTGTTGATCTGTGAAGACAGAAAACACATACTAGGCTAAAAGATATAATAAAATAAAATACCTCGTTTAGAATCAAAATATTGTTTGTTTCAGATGTTTATCTGCTGACAGCTGGACATAAAGATGTATTCTGCTTTGCTTAAAAGTCCATTCTCAGTGTGCACTGAGTGTAAGCTGCATATTGGGTCATTATTAACTTCCAAACTAGTTCTGATGTCATGAAATGTAAGCAAATTTTCCTCTCACATAGACAGAGATTAGTAGTCAAAAGCACCGGTTGTCTTCACTTTGTAACACTTAAATGGTACATTTACATGTTTGTTACAGTGTGAGTTTAAATCTTAGGTATTTGTTCACAAATAAATTATAAACAACCCACTCCATATTTGTCATGTGCATCACCACTGTATGTTACATGAATAAAACCTGTTGCCCCAGTGTATTCCTGTCGATGTCGCCCTCAAGTGGTTGAGAAATAGGAAACCGGAAAGGAACTAAAAGTTTCCTGTGTTTCGTAATACATTTTTACAGAATGCAAATTTACCAAGCATAGTAACTTCCAAGTACATTGTAGGACTGAGCAAATATAAACAAAGTGCAAATAACAAGTGCAGATACAAAAAATAAACTGTAAGAAAATGAAAAGGTGAAAATTAAATTTTAAAAAATTAAAATACATATATGAAATATGGAAATAAATAAGTGTATTGGCAAAAAAGATTAACTAAAGCCAAAAAAAAACCCAACACGCTGCTGATTACTGCATTATATTCCACTGTCACCTGCCACCTGAATTTTGTGTTTCCCTTTAAAGCCTATAAATAAAGACATTTCCACCATAACTTGGTGCAGAATTTTTTTCCAGAATGCTGGAAATTAAGTGTTTAATTCTCCAGATTTTCTGGGGGAGGGATAAATGCAGGGATAAATATCATTCATTGTTTAAAATGTACTACTTTAGGTTTAGGTGGTATAGGGAAACTAATGTATCCACATCTGATTTTCTTAGAGGTTACAGAAATGTATTCAAAGAACTGAAGTGGATAATAACACTGATTATCTCGTTACCATGGCACCTGTCAGTGAGTGGGATAGCCTAGGCCCGGTGTGACACCGGCCCTTACATGCTGCGTTCCAGGCAACTCGGAAAAAAACTGATTTCCAACTACAACTAGTAAAAAATCAAAACAAACGCCACTCAAAGTCGGAGAACCTACACTAGCAACAGCTGCTAGCCTACCCCCACTTCATAAAGAGGCAGCTGTCTGAAGTCACACAACAATAGCAGCACCCATGGAAGTGCATATTGTAAATGGTAAACCATCTACTAAAAGGCAACATAAAATACATCTGCCTGTATTTAATGAAAATAATACATACTAGTAAATAGTAACCCCTTCGAGTTCTTCAAAAACCAGTTAACACCAAGGGCACTGCTAAGGGTTTGCACACGTGAAAAAGGAAATCGCGTCGTGTTCCTGGAACTCTTGAGGTTGAAAGTCCGACATTCCGACATTCAACTGTGACTGGAACGCAGCAGGTTCCATGCGGCGGAAGCGGAAAAGGAGGGACTTGCGACTATAGTGACAATTTTCTCCTAAAAGTTCATGTGTTGGAAGCGAATAAAATGGGCAAGCGTAAGGATTTGAGCGACTTTGACAAGGGCCAAATAGTGATGGCTAGACGACTGGGTCAGAGCATCTCCAAAACCGCAGCTCTTGCGGGGTGTTCCCGTTCTGCAGTGGTCAGTACCTATCAAAAGTGGTCCAAGGAAGGAAAAGCGGTGAACCGGCGACAGGGTCACGGGCGGCCAAGGCTCATTGATGCACGCGGGGAGCGAAGGCTGGCCCGTGTGGTCCAATCCAACAAACGAGCTACTGTAGGTCAAATAGCAGAAAAGGTTAATGCTGGTTCTGATAGAAAGGTGTCTGAACACACGGTGCATCGCAGCTTGTTGCGTATGGGGCTGCGTAGGCGCAGACCAGTCAGGGTCCCCATGCTTACCTGCAAGGATGACCAGGAGGAAGAGAAGGAGCAGTCTACCCTTCCGATGCCGCCAGACCGTGTGGAATACCAGAAGGACAAGGAGCAGGAGCAGTCTACCCCTCTGTCGCCGCCAGACCAGGTGGATTACAAGGAGAAGGAGAATAAGGAGCAGTCCATCTCTTCGTCGCCGCTACGTAACGTTAGTCTTTCCCCAAACGCGGACTTGACGCCAGACCCCCCAGGTGCAACCACTGGACCCTGTGGCCCTCCGTCGCCGTCAGATTTGTGTCGCAGCGACGACGTTTTTTGAATGAGACTGAATTTGGACTGCAGACGAGTGTCTTTCACCTGTACACCGTCGCCAGTGTAACTTTGTTTAAACTTTATTTATTCAAGTCGTTCAGTGTTTTCTATGTTAAACTGTGTAAATTGGGAACTCTAGAGTAGGCTACCGTGCATACCCTGTATGCTTTTAAATGTATATTTGTGTATAATAAAAATGGTTTGTTTTATTGTGAGTTGCTAATTAATGTAATGCTAATGCAGTTCTGATTTATTATTTTGCCTTTTTGTTTCACAATGAAGTTGTTAAAGTGCAAGACAGCAAGATAAAAATCTTCAGACCCTCAGTGAAGGTTTTCATTTTTCACTTGGATACCAAGAAACAGAAACCAGCACTGTTGTAACATGACACAAACGTAATTTCTCACTCTACACAGCAAGTTGTTATTGCTCATAATATTGATTAAAATGGTGAACTGCAGGCAGGCAAATGTAATAAACTGTAGTTCGGGCACAGCTGGGGTCACTTATGCTACACAACAATTATGAAACTTCTAAAACAACAGGTATGACAGTATCAGTATCAAATATGTATCAAAAATGGGGAAACGTTAGAAGTAAAAAAAAGCATATAGCCTATAATTGATATTGAAAAAAGAATGTGTTGGCTACACAAAGAATGAAAGCTCCATTTTTAATATACAGAATCACCCCAAAAAAAATAAAAATAAGAGATGCTAGAATTTGAAGTTGCCCCTGATATCGCAATAATATAGCATCATGGCCTATAAGCTAGTCAGTTATATTCCAAAAATTAGCAGTCATATTTTAGAAGTTATAGCTATACTCTATTCATTAACATGAATAAATCAGCCCCCTCCTCTACTCCCTCTTTACCCATGACTGCTCCCCCCTCTATCCCAACAACATTGTCAAATTTGCTTATGATACCACCATAACAGTGGAAAGCATGCTCACCTCCCTCATCACCTGCTGATTAACTTCTATTGGTCAGCAACAGAGAGCCTCCTGACCTCCGGCTGCACGGTGTGGTTCTCCAGCTGCACAGAATAGAACAGGAAGGGCCGGCAGCATTGTGTCATCGGGACAACACTACCCCCCTCTCCAAGACATATATACACTGAACCTGAATAAGTAACACTAAAAATATTTCTGGAAACTGATTACCTCAAACTTTTATACTAGTGGTAATAATATTTTTGAGTAAACCTTAACTTAAATACTTTTGTAATTTTCCACATTCTACATTACATTGATTCACTGATGCTTATTAAAATTAAATTCCACTTATTCTTTACTCAATAATTGTAATTGTGCACAACTTATACTCTGAGGGAAATCTACTAAAAAAAAAAAAAAAAGTATTTTGCTAGACTCAAATGGAAACTCACTCAACAAAATTACTACTAGTAAACTTAAAATCTACAACATGCCCATTTACAGATAGTCCTCAAAAATACAAACACAACTCCATTATTACAATTCAAGCTCTCTTTATTAGTAACATCTTCTGTCATTTCTACATTTAACAGACACAAAATAAGGCACATCTTGCATAAAGCTGAATAGACAGTAATTGATTGGTTGATCAGATAATTAACCAGCAACAATTTTGAAAATCTATTTGTTTTCATTCTTTTTTGCAATAATGTTGAACAGTCTCTATTTTCAGATTCTTAATGAGATTTTTTGGTGCTAAGTGACAATAACTTGAATCTTGAGCTAAATAAAATTTCCTTTTCCTACTTACTTTACTGTGTTTTGTGGAAAAAGGGACTATGCAGAAGTTCCACACTAAGCAAATTTTTAAGTCGAAGTAATGGAACAATTACAAGGTTTCTGCAGGTTTCACCTGGTCAAATTTAAAACTTTTTTAAGACCTTTTTAAGACCATTATGAATGAAATTTAAGACCTATATCACGACTTAAAAAAAGAAACGCACAAAGGAAATGCAGTCACAAAATTACTTGCAGAGTAAATCAATGTATTCAAATTAGGGTTGAGTGATGTCTACAAAATTGGCATTGGACGACGTCAACAATGAAACACCGGGATGGACGATGACATTGATAAGCTATGTAATTAACAAACTGGCATGCGGTGGACCTGCTGACGTGAAAAATGGACCACCGGTGGGGGGGAGATAAAAAAAAAGAGAGCTGTGTGTCATTTCGGTGACTTTATAAAACATAACCTACTGCTGATGGATAAACTAAGGGGAGCAGACAGGAGAATCCGGTGTGTTACAGTGAGAGACCAAAAGGTCTGTGTGTGAGTGAGTGCAGGGAGAAGATGCAGGCGCAAAGCAGGTAGCCTACATTTACAAATAGCCTAATAGAAATAATGTCCATGCGGATTAAAACATGCTTTCACAGGGCCGTAAGAAATTAACATAAATAATAGGCAACATGAGAACCACCTCCCTTCTCCAAAAGAATAATCTCCTCCTTAGCTTAAAAGGACTAAGGTTAGT